TGAACTGATGTACTATGTACGTACGAAGTTCTTACGTTGCAACTGACTGACTGACTCTCTCTAAGGAAAACAATGGATCATATGCCTTTCTCCTATGGAATATATATATATATATATATATATATATATATATATATATATATATATATATATATATATATATATATATATTATAAACTTTCTAGTTAGATAAATCATTTCTACGAAAAACAAGACAGTAGTAAATAAACACTCACTTGAATTTGCTGCGAGATTATTACGTAAAGTGATGACATGATTCATGAGTTCTTGATTTTTACACTGAATCCAGAAAAAAAAAGAAATAATAAGAAATAACAAGATTAGTAGTTCATTTTAGGAGTTATAGAGATTCTTATTGAGGATTAGCTCCGCTCTTAAAGGCCCTTAGTGGGCACCCTTACCCAAGGAGACGGAAATCCGTGAGGTAGGATGAGGTGTGACATTTTTAGGGTCGACCTTTTCTAACTCTTCCTTCCTTGTGAGAAGGCAGCATCGCTGCAGATGCTGGTTGTCCGAGGGAAACACCTTACTGTCTGTCACACCCCTCCATCACAGTCAGCAGTACGACTTCGCCCTCAGACTTGGAGTAGCTGCTTTTAGTCTGATCGTTCTCCAATCGACCTGCCTGGCATGGTAGGACCTGCATGAACATATGTTCCAGTCAGTATAGCTCGGTTGGGTCATCACGATAGGCAAGCCCGATCACCACGTCAAGGTAGCAGCTACGGTCGGTTGATATTATGAATGCGGATCATTGAATAGACTGTCGTTAGAAACATGGCAGTATTGGACAACTGTTTCGTCCTAGTATATGAGATTGATTCATCAGTGGCAGTGTACATCCTATGATTAACTCACTCACGGGAATCGAACCCATGACATTCAGTCTCTTTTGTGCAACAAAATGCTTAACTTCTACACACACTACTAAGTTGGTCGTATCTAACAGTGTTCATGTCTAACTTTAATGAATACAAAGTACTGTACAACCTACAACATAAAGGGAAAAGTAAGATTCTACGATAAAACACAACATACGCCAACCAAATCATTCTTTGACTGGGATGCCTTGGAGGACGTTGACACTTTTACATATCTTCGCAGCATCATCAACAACCAAGGTGGATCCGATGCAGATGTGAGGGCGTGGATTGGTAAAGCAAGGGCTGCATTTCTACAATTGAAAAATATCTGGAACTCCAAACAACTTTCAACCAAAACCAAAATCAAGATTCTCAATACAAATGTCAAGATAGTTCTACTGTATGGAGAGGAAACTTGGAGAACTACCAAAGCCATCATTCAGAAGATACAAGTGTTTATTAACAGCTGTCTACGCAAAATACTTCGGATTCGTTGGCCAGACACCATCAACAACAACTTACTATGGGAGAGAACAAACCAGATTCCAGTGGAAGAGTAAATCAGGAAGAAGCGGTGGAGGTGGATAGGACACACACACTACAAAAAGCACCTAACTGCGTCACAAGACAAGCCCTCACATGGAACCCTCAAGGCAAAAGGAAAAGAGGAAGGCCAAGGAACACACTATGCCGAGAAATAGAGAAAGATATGAGAGGAATGAACACACATTGGACAGAACTTGAGAGGGAGGCCCAGGACAGAGTTGGTTGGAGAAAACTGGTCGGCGGCCTATGCTCCTTTGGGGTAACAGGCGCAATCTCATTCATTGTTTTCGGACGGTAGGATAACTGACTACACCCGATAGGGGTTGAACTCTACTAGTCAGGGCTTCTTATTCTCACTACAACTTCTCATGTAACTAGTCATCCCTATTGAGCACAATTTATGATCTTTTTACTATAGAATTATGGAGATGATTGAGTTTCATTGAATTGTTACGTAATAATAATAATAATACTCAAAAAATGGATGGTCATAAACAAGAAAACATATTTCATTATGCGTTTGTGATTATTCAGGGTTGGCATGTCTTGAAACTATCTCACTACTGTATGACAGCTGCAAGGCTTTTAGAAAACGATGGAGTTTCGTTCTCTGAGCTGGATGCTTATTTTGGTTGTGGAGATTTCATTGATCTTCTTCTGAAGCATTCGAATTTCTCTCTGTAATACTTGCAGCTTGTTCTGCTGACCTCAATCTTGATTGGTTGTTACTGACCTTTAGCCTGACGTTGTCTGCATCGTTATTTTTGTTGCATCGCCCCCTTTAAACTTTCAGCTTCTAGAAAAGTTGTGGTATGTAGTATAGCAATAAACGTTACTTAGTTACACCTGTTATCCCTAATGTAGCATAGGACGCCCACCAGCGAATTATGTTTCTGGTTAGCACTTTTTAGAGAGTTGTATTTCTAGGGAATAGAGTCACCTAACCCCATGTTCAACGCTCCTTCTTTGTCTGGACTTGGGAACGGCAGTAACCCCCAAAGAGCTCCAGGTGAAGTTCAACGGTAAACAGATCAAAACCATTAGTCTGCATATAGTTCAAAATACATACATCATGCATGTATGTGAGAGGATATCACAGTAAAATTTAACAAGATTCAATTTCTTGTTGTTAATTTGGAGAGAGTTCGATCGATCTCCCTTCGAATGATCTCTCATAGCGCCACGTGTGTATATCCACTGCCCAGGAAGTTCTACATAATAGTACAAATGTTGTTAACAAAATTTGTGCACTTCTGATGAGTTCCAGTGCTTCCAGATTTCTAATGGTGGTCAAACAATGACTGGTTCATGTTTTCAAAAAAATTTTCGAAAATTGACCTAGTTATTTCGGAGGATCCACCTAGAGTAGTTCGAAAAACACAATGGTGTAAAAGGGGCTCTACGATCTGAAGGGAACAAATGGTGTACGAAAATATTGTTGGTTGCTGAATACGATGGGACGTACCTCTCCTAAAAAATTGCTTCACTACACTTTGAATTTACAAATAGAATATTTCTTTTGTTAGAATAATTGTCAGACAGTCAGTCATTCGTGGAGATCAGAAAGTTATTGGGAGGTGTAAGAAGGATTAGATTGTGACCGATTTAGGTCTCGTGTGCTGTTACGCGTATGAGGGCGAATGTCACTTCCAGGCTGCTTAAACCGTGGAAGAGTGCTTCTCGAAGAATCTTAAAAGGAAATCAGATAAGTGTTGATCTTAGCCACCTTCGAGCGTGACCACAGAGTCTAAGTGTCAGTTGCTGAGGCCGGTCGCACGCCGCTTTTTTATGGGAAGTTTGTTAGGTGTTAGCTCCGCTCTTTAAATGGCCTTACTACCCAAGACGGAAATCCATGAGGTAAGCTGAGGTGTGACATTTTTAGAGTCGACCTTTCCTAACCACTCTATAGTCAGCAGTATGACTTCGCACTCAGACCGTAAGTTGCTGGATTGATTGTGACCAATTTGCTCTTGTATCCTGTTAGGTGTATGAGGCCCCAATGTACAACTGCTTGATGCCGATGACGCACGGCCTTTTTTATGGGAAATTTTTAACACGTTAGCTCTGCCCTTGTTTAAAAGTCCTTACCGCCGGAGACGGAGATTTGTGAGGTAAGGTGAAGTGTGACATTATTAGAATCGACCTATTCTAACCATTCCTTCCTAGTGAGAAGGCAGCATCGCTGTAGATGCTGGTTGTCCAAGGGAAACACCTTACTGTAGTCACACCTCTCTACAGTCAGCAGTACGTCTTCGCCCCCAGACCGTAAGTTGCTGGTTCTAATCTTATCGTTCTCCAGCAGACCTGCCTGGCATAGTAGAACCCACAGAAACATATGTTCAAGTCAATATAGCTCGGCTAGGTCATCATGATAAACAAACCGGACCACTACGTCAAGGTAGCTAGCAGCTACGTTGAAATTCTCTCTTTTAAAAACTCACTTGAATAGCATCTATGGCTGAATCAATTGGACTGAAATCAGTTTCAGTCACTTGTATTATTTCAAGTCGACGACGTATGTGAGGAAATGTTGCTTCAGTTGTTAATATTGTACGACGCTTCCATTGAATAGTTAAATCATCACTTTGTTTTGGACCTGAAGCTAATAGACATGCTTCTGTGGATAAACCTATATTGCAAGAAAGAAATCATTGTATGCAATAATATACAGTAATAATAATAATAATAATTTTAATAAACATGAATATCTCACAAGGCGATAATGTAAAGAATATTAAGCGGTCTGGATTGCCCTGGTGTTGTTGATTTATATCCTATCTGAAATTCGATATCAGTCATGGTTAGCATATGATTATTCTATGCGAATTTGCTTGATATAATCATTATGGCAAGAGTGCTACTTATAAGTAGTATATGACGTGAGTGTAAACGTAATGTCTGGCAGCAGAAGAGGATGGGGGAAGATCAAGAAAGGAAGAAGAGTGGGAACACAATGGAATTTGTATGAAACAAACGCATGAATAAGTGAAATGTCAGACAATGGATTGATGATGGATTGAAGATTTGCAAATTAGCCGTTTACGATATGGTTTTCCTATTTTACTGAGTAACTCTGTAAATTTCGTTAAATACACATTCGGTTGCCCTCACCTGTGTTCTCCTTCACTACAGTATGTGGTTAGTAAGTGGACGCGTGAGTTGGATGCAAATAACGCGCTAGCGTATGGAACGAAACGCAGTGGGTATTATTTCCGAGATGTGGCAACCAAATAGGTAGAAATGTGCGTCCTGGATGTATGATCTATTCTATGTAGAATCCGTACCCTAGTTGTCCATATTCTTTATGAGAAGTAATGTGATTCCCCAGGCTAAGCATAACAACATATCGATCGATCACTTGTCCAGTCTAATCTAATACTAAATAGCAATCGTACTGTCATAGTCGTCCACATTCACTTGACTCATCATCAAAACACGCCAACTTGGTAATCATCTAGTTACAAATTATTGTATGACCTTTTATAGTTGACCTTTGCATTTGTTTAATTGTAATTTTATTGACTATATAAATAATCCAGTATGTAGAAATGATCATTTATCCCCAATTGGTCGGCCCATATAATACTTATTCTTTATCCTTTCATTTTAGGATATATGTGCTCTTGTAAAATTAATCACTATTCGCCTCTAGGAGTATTTTCGTGACCTTGACCTTCGTGAAGTATCTTATCGATTGTCTATCAGTTTCTTACATGCTCGCTCGTATTTCAATGCAGTACTTGTTTTCATACATGTAACATTGTTACACTTGCACGTAAACACGTCAACTTGATATACTTGAACTATTACGAGTTCACCTAGTCGGAAAACGAGAGCGAGGATCGAGGATCCGGCAACACGACATGCTAATCAAATCCGATTATCACAACCCCCCTATTCAGTGAAAATAAGACAAGACTCGATATGAAGTAGAACCTGTATTCTACAAGCATCCAGAAAGTACGAGGTCCGAATCCAGAAGAGAATCAGCATCCCGGACTAGGGATCCGGGACCGAGCCCTGGTTCTGGTCCTGATAATATAACGTTACAGATAATGCATATTTATACATTTTGGTCGAATAGGAGACAGCATCGAAGTCTGTGACATTGACAGTTAAGACGACCGATAGGAAGTAACACCTGAAGTGACCTTGATAGTCAGGACAACCAATAAGAAACAACACTGAAGTACATGACATTAATATCTAGGACGACAATGAAATTGACCAGTAAGAATTAACCAATAGCAATCGACCAACAATTCTCCTAGGATATTGGATGAATATCCTAACAAACATACCGAGTAGGAAGGGTTCAAACTCACGACAAACTTACACCTGTCTGCATCAGTGTATACATATATATATATATATATATATATATATATATATATGTGAAATATGTGCGCATTCACTAATATGATTAAGTTGATGAATACATGAGAAAATAATTAAAACGAACTACACTTCAACATTATTTTCTCATGTATTCATCAACTTAATCATGTTAGTGAATGCGCACATATTTCACATATTTATGTGTATTATACAGAATTATAGTCTTTTTCGGTAAGAAGTTATGGAGATGATTGTATCGACCAATGTTAGAACACTGTTAGAAACCTAGAAGCACCGGACGGCAGTTTCGCCGCAGTATGGGACTCGTCAACAGCTACGCAGCCACAACCATTTTTTTAAATGAAACTTAACAATCTTCACACAACTCTATAATGTGCTCACGAGTGATGAATAAATTCGTGAGGAGATTTCTCTGGGTCCTAGTACGAAAAAGCCGTGATCGGTGGAACTCACACTCAACAGCGTGTGAGGCAGTTATCCACTGAATACTACAGATGAGGTTATGCAATATTTTGATTAAAAGTATATATTAACACCAGTAGATACCAATCCATTGGTTTAAAGGTTAAGCGTATGCAGTCAGTCATTTATAACGCAGAACTTCGTATGTACTTACATCGGTTCAGGTTCCCATACCTCATTGGCACAGAGACGCAAATATCAGTTCGAATCCCATAGTGATAACAGAAGTATTAGCGGTAATGGAGAAGATTACGGTTTGATGTGTTACTCAAGAAGTATAAAGCTTGGGCACGAGATCGATTCCCGGTTGCGCCAGTCGTGGATGCGCACTGCTACTGATGAGGAGTCCTAAAATGGCTATCCAATACTTCCTAATTTCTAATGATGGTTAAAAACAATGATAAATTCATTTCTTGGCAGTGAAACATAAAACCCTTATCCATCTTATCATAAACAAATTCACGACATGTTAGTCAGTTACGGGTATGAGGGCGATTGACACTTCCCGGCTGCCCACACCGTGGAAGGTTGTTTCTTGAGAGACCTGAAAAGGAAGATAGATTAATGTTGGTCTTAGAGACCTGAGAGCGTGACCGCAGAGTCCAAGGGACAACTGCTTGAGACCGGTCACGCACGGCCTTTTTATGAAAGGTTTTTTGAGTATTAGCTCCGCTCTTAAAAACCCTTAGTGGGCACCCTTAACGACGGAAATCCGTGAGGTTAGGGTGAGGTGTGACATTTTTAGGGTCGACATTTTCTAACACTTCCTTCCTAGTGAGAAGGCAGTATCACTGCAGATGTTGGTTGTCCGATGGAAACACCTTACTGCTGTCACACCCCTCCATCACAGTCAGCAGTACGACTTCGCCCTCAGACCTTGGGTAGCTGCTTTTAGTCTCATCGCTCTCCAATCGACCTGCCTGGCATGGTAGGACCTTCGGGAACATATGTTCCAGCTATTATGGCTCCGTCGGGTCATCACGATAGTCAAGCCCGACCACCACGTCAAGGTAGCAGCTACGGTCGGGTCACGACATGTCAGGTAGTTAGTTTTGTTTGATTATTATAAAAAAAAACCAATAACATTGTACAGAATTGACACAGTTATTGAACGTTGAACACTGCTAACAAACAAACAAACAAACTGACAAATTCCATAAAAAAAACGTTTGCACAAATTTCTTACCTGATTGTTTTAAAAATGGTGTTTCAAACATAAATTGTCTGATATCATGATGTTTTTCATAAGATCTCAGTGGTTTCTTGTTAGAATCATCGGATTCTTTGTACGGTTCAACATAAGTCACCTAATCAATAAATCAATGAATAAATTGTTAGGGATATTCATTCAATATCTTAAGAGAATTATTATTGAACAATTCCTATTGGTTAATTCCTACTGGTCAATTTCATGGTCGTCCTAGTAGATATCAATGTCACGTGCTCCAATGTTGTTTATTATTGGTTGTCCTGACTATCAATGTCATTTCAAATGTTGCTTCCTATTGGTCGTCTTAACTGTCAATGTCACAGAACTCGATGCTGTTTCTCATTCGACCAAAATGTATAAATACGAATGATCTGTAATGTTTTTGACAAGAACCAGGATCCGGTCCCGGATCCCTATTCCGAGATCCTGATTCTCTTCTGGACTCGGAACTCGTACTCTGAATTCTTGTAGAATACCTGTTCTACTTCACATTCAAATCCTCTTATTTTTACTCAATATGGGGGTTGGAATAATTGGATTTCAGTAGCATGTCGTGTTGCCGAATCCTCGCTCATGATTTCCGACTAGGTAAACTCATCATAGTTCAAGTATATCAAGTTGACGTGTTTACGTGCAGGCGTGACATAAATCAATAAATTGAATATGTTGTGACTATTGGTAAAGTTTCGTTCTCTGAGTTGAATGTCTTAATTGAAATCATGAATCGATCATTGTTAGACCACCGTTAGAAACCTGGCAGCACTGGATGACCGTTTCGTACTAGGATATGGGACTCATCAGCAGTGCGCATCCACGATCCCCACTCGCTGGATTCGAACCCAGGACCTTCGGTCTCACGTGCGAATGCTTACGCTTTAGACCAATGTGACGGCATTCAACGGCCTATCTTAGATCAAACCAACGATAATCGATTCATGATCTCAATCAAATACAACAATCATCATAGCTCTAAACTGAATATGTTTATTGTCTGAGTTAGATCGACTATTTTCTTCTAGTGAGTTCAATGAAACTCACTAGTCACAAGTAGTACAAGCAAAGATGTAATAGCGCTTAGCGATGGAATCCAAGATGCGAGTTTGTCGCAGCTGGATGTACCGTGCCACAACACTTTTCACTTTCATTCCAGGACTCGAACACAGAATTTATCGCTTTAAACACTATCGCGTTATCACAAAGTGAACACTAACCCTAGCTTGGAAGTACTATATCTAGCTGACGAGAACCAAAACAAAACGAAACGCGCTTTTTAAATTGCACTACTAGCCACCTTCCATCTCTGCTTTTAAATGGTTAAGAATATAGTCTGGATTTGTGAACGAATACTGGATGTATCTGAACAATTGTGAACGATTTCTAAACATTTCATTCATAAATATATAACCCTAATCATGATTCGGATTTTATACACCAGCCACAAGTAAGTGGTCTACACTACAAAATACGTTTTCATTTTTAGATAAACCTCTGCTTTTCTAAAACACACCGATCTAGTTTCAGTGTGTTATACAGCAATTCAGAGGGTAACGCATAGATATTCAGTGAGTCAGATACAACGTAGAACTTCGTGTGTAAATACATCAGTTCATGTCGCCATACCACATTAGCACACACACAGATGTAATTGTCAATTCAAATCCTATAGCAGTAAAGGTAGCAAAGGCATTAGAAGTAATCGGAGGGGTTAGGATTAGAAGATATTATTCAAGAAGTATGACTCAATGAGAAAAGTTTAGAAAGTCAAAACTAGAGATGTTGAAGAATCCAGAAGATTAGGATTTGATAGAACACAAAGAATAAATGCACCGGCACCATTGCAAACAGTTTTGAGCCATGTCATTCAAGGCCTCTAACCATCGATTATTATCATCTCGCGGACCCCAACCAGGTAGTCGACAACTACCGACATGGCTAAGTCCACTTGTCAGTGAGTTGATGAATTTCTGCGATGTTTTGGTCTGGCCGCATCCTAGCTTTCTTACAACCAACTCCTACACCACGAAACAAAGCTCGTCGAGGCAGTCGGTGGGTAGGCATACGTAACACATGTACCAACCAACTCAACTGATGAAGTTTCATTACTTCATCTATTGACCTGCCATCCTTACTTAGCACCCGTGTCCTGATAACAGCCTTGCTCACTCGGGTGTCCCAGGATGCACGAGCAATGCTTCGAAGACACCTATGATCGAAAAACATAGATATTCACTAAACTGTAAGTTGATTATCATAAACCAACATGAAACTTGATATAAAGTGAGCCAATCAGAAGTGATCAAAGGAGATGGGCCATTTGATAATCATCCGAAAATATCCAAAACGACGCATACATATCATTGCCTATCGGCTTCTCCTGTAAGTAGCCAGTTTTTTTTGGGGAGATTGCACGTGTTGCGATCAGATCACAGTCACTAGGTTGGTACGTGTAGACTAACTGGTTGGAGTCTGCGAGATGATAATAATCGATGGTTAGAGACCTTGAATGACATGGCTCAGAATCGTTTGCAATGGCGTAGGTGCATCCACTCTTTGTGTTCTACGAAATTCCAACCTTCTGAACTCCTCATCATCGCTATCACTCTTGGATTTGAACTAACAGTTACGTCTCTGTGGTGACGTGGTATGGCAACCTGAACTGATTTACTTATGTACGTACGAAGTTCCACGTTGTATCTGTCTGTCTACATGACTAAAAACCCTTTGTAATGTGGCTCAGGTACCGCAACTCTTCATGTTCTCTCAAATCCTAACCACCTTCTAAATTCTTCCTCAAATTTATTTCACTAGGTTATTTACTCCTTGAATAACAACTTCAAACCTTAATCTTTTCGATTACTGTTCATATTTCTACTACTTCTACTACTATGGGACAATGGCGTCTCTTTGCTAATCTAGGGTGAACGTGTATGTACCTAGTTCTACGTTGTAATTGATTGACTGACTGACAGCCAGCCAGCCAAAACACAGACATTCACAGCGTGGTGGGTGGGTTGCATCAAAACACACACACACACACACAACATCTTACTTGAACATAAGCTTTCATTGGATCTAACATGGATCGATTAATATAATTATCCATGATTAATTCCACTGAGTGTTCACCATATTTACGACGATATAATTGTAATAATTCATGACATTTTTCATTTAATTTTTCACATGGATTCGATCGATAAATAAATGATTTACCAGCCATTGATTCGAATAACTAAAGAAATACAAGAGAGAAAAACACACATTGTGTTAGGGATATTCACATCCAATAGCCTAAGAGAATTAATTATTGGCTAATGCCTATTGGTCGATTTCTATTGGTCAAAAATTATGTCAAAGTCAAATGCTTCAATAATGTTGTCTCTTATTGGTCATCCGGACTGTCAATGTCATTTCAAATGTTCTTTCTGATTGGTCGTCTTAATTGTCAATGTCACAGAATTCACCGTGGAGAGTTGGAGACCCTATATTACAAACCAATGGTGCACGTGGACTCCACGATCTCGACGGAGCTAACAGTGTATAAACCTATTGATGGTTATCAGCTGCCATGGGATCACAAATCCTAACGTTGCTAACGTTAGGATATTCATCCAATATCCTAAGAGACTATTGGTCAATTCCTATTGGTTAATTCCTACTGGTCAATTTTATGGTCGTCCTAAATATCAATGTCCCGTGCTCCAATGTTCTTTCTTATTGGCTGTCCTGACTATCAATGTCACTTCAAATGTTACTTCCTGTTGGTTGTCTTAACTGTCAATGTCACAGACTTCGATGTTATTTCCTATTCGACCAAAATGTATAAATACACATTATCTGTAAGGTTTTATGATCAGGACCCGGTCCGGGATCCTGATTCTCTCCTGGATTCGGAACTCGTACTTTCTGGATGCATGTAGAATACAAGTTCTACTTCATATCATGTCTTCTTATTTTCACTGAATAGGGAGGGTTGGGATAATTGGATTTGAGTAGCATGTCTTGTCACCGGATCCTCGATCCTCGCCCTCGTTTTGCGACTGGGTAAACTCTTAATATTGTGGTGGTGTTTCGTTCTCTGAGCTCAGCCCAGAGCTACAAGTTTTCTCCACCATTTCAAACTCTTAATAGTTCGAGCGTATCAAGTTGACTTGTTTACGTGCAGGCGTAACGCACATACACACATACAGAGAGAGAAGAAATGGTTTAATCATACGCAATCATCTGATATGCTTGAATGCTATTACCAGTTCACCGTACTCGATAAACGAGGGCGAAGATAAATGATTGCAGTGACACGATAGGCTATTCTAATCCATTTGTCCCCGGCTAGGGCTAACTAGATCATGAAGTCTTGATAAGTCGCGTAGAGAGTGTATTCTACAAACACCTAGAAAATACAAGGATATCTAAGCACACAAATCAAGCTTATTTATACAATGATAGCAGCGCCGTTGGGAGAGTCACAAAAATAGAGTACTAAAATAATCTACCAATCAATGACAGTCAAGGATTTTCCGAGGGAAGGTCAACTAAGCGTCTTATGCGCGTAAACATAAAAAAATTTGAGTACCCAACATGATTAACATAATGATTGATGTGAATTAGATTAGGCACCACCCCTCAAATATGTTAGTACGACCGAGAGTGGAGAGACTTCGATCTCTCCCTCCGTCGAAACGCTATAAGTGGATTCCTACCCAATGACTTCTCTTGGTACGGGGTGATGCTCGCAAAGGTGACCGAGTCGGTGATTACGGTAAGCCCACTTTGGAGAGTTGAAAAACCCTCATTACAAACCGATGGTGCACATGGGCTCCACGATCTTGACGGAGTTAACGGTGTATGAACCTATTGATGGTTACCAGCTACCAAGGGATCACAACTCCTAACTCTGCTACACTGCCTTCTGGATTAGACCTGTAGGGGAGTGGCCCCTTAAGAAAACCAGCTACTTCGATCTAGGTATCCGAGCAGTATCCCAACTCACTCAAAAGTTCACTGATTTTTGTGTCTCTTTGTACCAATAATTATTTGTCTAAATCAAAGAATATAAAAATTTCCTATATCTATTCCAGATAATATCAACTGATGGAACGTTAAAATCATCCACATTTCCGGGCACACTTCCATACTGTTGTTCTTTGAAAATAACAATTTGTCTATTCACATAGACAATCCAAGATTTAAAAAACGGCTTCAAGCTACATCACAACAACATAGCAACAAATAAGATGAATCAGGATGTTGTTAAAAAAAGTACCTACACGATATAGAAAAACCGACTGTAGCTGCTAACTTGACGTAGTGGTCGAGCTTGTCTATCGTGATGATTCAACCGAGCTATATTAGCTAGAACATATGTTACTGTAGGTTCTACCATACCAGGCAGATCCACTGAGGAACGGTAAGACTAAAGCAGCAACTCAAGGTCTGGGGGCGAATTCGTACTGCTGGCTATAGAGGGGTTTGACAGCAGTAAGGTGTTTTCCTCGGACAACCAACATCTGCAGCGATGTTGAGTTCTCACAAGGAAGGAAGGGGTTAGAATAGGTCGACCCTAAAAATGTCACACCTGACCTTACCTCACGTATTTCCGTCTCCGACGGTAAGGGGTTTTAAAAAAGAGCGGAGCTAACACTTCAAAAACTCCTCATAAAAAGGCCGTGCGTGACCGGCATCAAGCAGTTGTATTGTGGGGCTTCATACCCCTGACAGAATACGAGAACATCTGTGTCACAATCAAATCCTTCTTTCACTTCTTAATAACTACTTCCTTGTCTCCACGACTAACCCTTCACACATTCATTTATCACTTGGTGCCGCTGAAGTAAACGATTCGAACAGACACCTGAAACCACACTCTAAGCTACATGTTGAAGCATTTCATGTGCGGACCTTGTGACAAATGCACATTTACGCACAGGGGTATAGTTATTAACATAAAAACAAACAGGAAATCACAACTTACTTGACCATGAAATGTAACACGATAATATGCTGCAAATAATCGATGTCCATGTGATTCCACACGACTTATTGATTCATAAGCTCGACCAATATGATGATAAATTTGTGCTAAATTATTATATTGACATTTGTATTCGTACACTGGTAAAATTAATTCATACACTGGTCGTATACATTCGAATAAACCAGCTGATTCTAGCGCTAAAGCAGCTTCATTCATATCGGTCAATAAATCATCCTTTGAATGAGAAAAAAAAGGAGAAAAGGTGATGAGTTTTAATATGAAAACAAAACATGGATTATTTATAATTTATATTTTAACACAAAAGGATATAAAACAATTGAATATTGAATGCGGCTTATTTAAAATGAATCCACTAGTGAATAGCTTTGGGAGGAAATTCTTGGAGTTCTACTAAGACGTAACAAGCGAAGTTCAGCCCTATCGGATGTAAGCAGTAACTAGCAAAAACAAATGGGTGAGGTTACGTAAAATTCTTAGATTGATCAGAGTTAGGCATTAGCAGCGTTGGATGACGGCTCAGCGGTTTAGAGGTTAAGCGTTTGCGTGCGAGGTGGGAGGTCATGGGTTCAAATATTGCGAGTTACAGGGGTCGTGGATGTACACTGCTGATGAGTAGTCCCATATCAGGACGCACTGGCCGTCCAGACAGACAGACAGATACAATGCAGAACTTCATACGTACATAAGTACATCAGCTCAGGTTGCCATACCATATCAGCGCACAGACGCAACTGTCAGTTCAAATCCAAAAGTGACAGCGATAGTAGAAGTATTAACAGTAATGGAGAAGATTAGGGAGCGAAGATATGATTCGAGAAGTATAATTCAGTAAGATAAATTTAGAAGGAGAAAGATAGAGATTATGACGAATGCAGAAGCTTAGAATTAGAGAGAACACAAAGAGTGTATGCATTTGCGCCATTGCAAACGATTTTGAGCCATGTCGCTCAAGGTCTTTAACCATTGGTGACTTTCGTCTCGCGGACCCCAACCACGTAGTCTACATCTACCAACATGACTCAGTCCACTTGTTAGTGACTTTATGGATTTCTGCCATGTTTTGTTTTGGCCAACCTACTCCTACACCACAAAACATAGCTCGTCTAGGCAGTCGGTGGTTGGGCATACGTAACACACTGATGAAGTTTCAACACTTCATCTACTGATTTGCAACGAGATTCTAATGTCCTTGCTAAGGAAGCCTGTTGCCCTATTTGACATAATGTCCGTAAATTAAATGCTCCAACATGTAATTTGGAACAAGGTTTCAGGAGACCAGGAATGACGTTTCGTGAACTCCCTTCGTTTGCATTAGCTGTGCAGTGTGATAAGGGAAGGTGAGAAGAGTTGGTTGTGGAGATAACAGAGATATTAGGGGGCGTAGGAAGGATTTAATTATGACCGATTTGGGCTGGCGTGCTGTTACTGGTATGAGGGCGGTTTTCACTTCCCGACTGCCCACAACGTGGAAGGGTGTTTCTTGAGAAACCTGAAAAGGAAGATAGATTAGTGTTGGTCTTAACGATCTGGGATCGTGATCGCAGAGCGCAAGGGACAACTGCTTGAGGTCACGCACAGCCTTTTTATGAAAAGTTTTTTGAGTATTAGCTCCGCTCGTGAAAGCCCTTAGTGGGCCTAGTGGAGACGGAAATTCATGAGGTGAGATGAGGTGTGAAAATTTTAGGGTCGATCTTTTCTAACCACTTCCTTCTTTGTGAGAAGGCAGCATCACTGCAGATTGGGTTGTCCGAGGGAAACATTTCACTGCTGTCACACCCCACTGCAGTCAGTAGTACGACTTCGTCCTCAGACCTTGATTTGCTGCTTTAGTCTTACCGTTCTCCAGTAGATCTGCCTGGCATACGTTCCAGCCAATATAGCTCGGTTGGATCATCACGATAGGCAAGCCCGACCACCATATGTCAAGGTAACAGCTACGGTCGGCATAACAATCATTATCTATAGACATGAATATATTTCATTCTGTATCACACTAAATATAATACGCCTACACTTACTTGAGTATATGAAATTTCTAATAATGTAGACGAATCAGTTTTAAGTTCATTTTCTTCTAAACAAAT